CTTTGCAGATGGACGTCAACAGATTTATCGACGTAAAGGAGAAAGACTTGCGCCAACTGTGTCCTTGAACATGATCGTTTTGGAGGGGTTGGTGTCATGATCAGACCACAGACCATCAGAGGCTGCAGACCATCCATTAGCTGTTCCTGAGAAATGTGTGTCTTTCAATGCCCCAAAGACTGCGAGCATGTCTTGCAGCGCACGGTGGACACACACGATATTGACTGCAAGTGACCCCTCCTTTGTGTGATGTCGTTGTTGCGTCACTGATGTTGTTGTTGACTGGACATTTTCAGATGAAATTATTCACAGATGTTCACTTAAAACATAGCTGCAAGTTAGGTTTATATATGTTTAAATTAGTGTGAGTAAAGAAAGTATGAAAAGTCAAATTGCATTTTTAATGGCTTTCAGTATAGAAACCATTCGCGTATGCTCCTAGTTTAGGATGTGGACTTGGGAAATAGAGCGAGTGAGTTAAAATTTAACGTCACCTCTGCAATATTTCAGCCATATAGTGACGAGAAATGTTGGACATACACAATAAATACAAATAGGTAAATAACCAGTCATCGACGGACTGTAAAATAACTCGAGTATCACATATATGGATATAAAACTAGCATGGAAAACTAAAACATTATAATTAAAGCAGACAATACAATATAAAACACGGGCTATAGATTGCCAACAACTGAAGGTAGATAACCATACTAGGGACCGTGGGGACGTACTTTACTTTTGCTTGGGAAATAGAGAATGGGTTCTTATTTTAATAATTTGAACACATGTCAGCTATGACCTGATTTAGAAATGGACTTCAGCAACTCATGTTTGTCGTAAGAAGCGAATAACGGGATAGGTTGTCATAAGAAGCGAATAACGGGATAGGTTGTCGTAAGAGGCGAATAACGGGATAGGTTGTCGTAAGAAGCGAATAACGGGATAAGTTGTCGTAAGAAGCGAATAACGGGATAGGTTGTCGTAAGAGGCGAATAACGGGATAGGTTGTCGTAAGAAGCGAATAACAGGATAGGTTGTCGTAAGAGGCGAATAACGGGATAGGTTGTCGTAAGAAGCGAATAACGGGATAAGTTGTCGTAAGAAGCGAATAACGGGATAGGTTGTCGTAAGAGGCGAATAACGGGATAGGTTGTCGTAAGAAGCGAATAACGGGATAAGTTGTCGTAAGAAGCGAATAACGGGATAGATTGTCGTAAGAAGCGAATAACGGGATAGGTTGTCGTAAGAAGCGAATAACGGGATAGGTTGTCGTAAGAAGCGAATAACGGGATAGGTTGTCGTAAGAAGCGAATAATGGGATAGGTTGTCGTAAGAAGCGAATGACGGGATAAGTTGTCGTAAGAAGCGAATAACGGGATAGGTTGTCGTACGAAGCGAATAACGGGATAGGTTGTCGTAAGAAGCGAATAACGGGATAAGTTGTCAGGCTCCCTGACTTGGTTGATGCATGCTATCGTTTCCCAATTGTGTAGATCGATGCTCATGCTGTCAGTCACTGTATTGTCTGGCCCAGACTTGATTGTTTACATACCGCCGTCATAAAGCTGGAATATTGCTCTGTGCAATACAAACAGAACATGTTCAGTTCATAATATATCATTAAATCTACTCATTGATGCATATAAAGTCAAACCTAAAACGTAATTGCAGCGTTCCATGGTAAATTATCGCGAGAGAGAAGCCAAGTAGAAAAAAAATACAGATAATCACAGCCACAGACAGCAAACTTCTCTCCAGGTGGAATGACACACAATTATTAAAGTCAGCGAGTATGGCTGATCGAGTGAGTAGCGGGTAACCTAGGCGAACGACTTCCACTGTCATAAGTCTATGTTAAAGTATAGGGGTTACAATAGTGCTAACGACGGGCCATTATCTGTTCTGTTGTCAAATGACGTCACAGCGGTATTGTCTGTCAACCTAATTATCTTATGCTCCATAATGGGATCATAAATCTTGTTCCATGACCAACAGTGTTGGGTCAACAGCCCGTTGCGAGTTATTTGAAGCAAACAAATCGTTATAACTAACAATTGAATTGATGACACTGTTTTGTCTTTATTAACACAAATTCCATTCATTTTAGCTGTAATAGGGGTACGCTGTTTTCGGAGCTATATAATTTCCAGAAACCGACGTTTTTCTTCCACTGCCCTCTTTAGTCGGGCAGTTATTGAAGACCTAGGGCTGACCAGCGTTACCTCTATACAACTGAGCATTGTTTTACACTTTTCTTGATCTTCAGTAACTTTGAAGGTTCTCTCAGAATTCTCTTCTCTTCCTACACACCGTTATTGCTGCTGTTGATATAGAACTCAACAGGAAACATATACCTGAAACACAATATACAGGTGAACATACATTTTAAAAAATGTTCACATTATACATCCTGTTTTGATTTTTGATTAGATGATACATGTGTTCAAACCGTATTCGAAGTATTCAGCGCCCTTCCACCTATACGGCCTATATCAGAATACGTAGCAAGTAGGGCGCCAACATTTGTTTTGTTAGGTGTACATACCCGTGTACATATAAGTGTCTAAATGTTCATAAGCCACACATCATTTAATTAATATACAGTTCGCGCATAATGCACGATTTCGTTGAATCAAACCAACATGTCAACCGCGATAGATCTGGGTTTAATATTCTAGCCGCCTACTTCTAAATGCACTTGTGGATGCAACTGATATTGAACATAAACAGGACAGAACATAAACCTGGAAAGAAAAAAAAGAGTATTATTGATGGTGCAAACATAATACAAACACCATACGCAAACAGCCTAGAATCGAAATATTCCAAGGAAAGCAGCAAAGAGTCAAAGTACAACATATAACGAAATGCAATTTAAGTTGCCTTGTTTTTGTAATGTGCTAAGACTCGCCAGGAAGGACCCTTTTTCACAAATTCTGAACTAGGAATATTGAAACACAATGTCATGTTCGCAGAAACAAAAAACGCATATATATGTAGTTTATTAGGACGAGAAACTGCCACCTTATGTCTTGCGCATATGCACGTGTCAGCAGTGGACCAGAATCTCAGTCAATAACATTACATGTTCTTACCTGAAAATATATAGGTACATTCATATATTCCACTTCTTTTATAGAAGAAACCTGAAAACATGTAAAAAATGCATCTGAAATAATAATGGACATAAAATATTTTCAAAGTTGAGGGAAATCTGTTTGACAGGAAGGTGTAGTTGGGTCATTAAAAAGCGGTAAACCCCTGTCCAAATCCACAAGAACCCTCTGCAAAGAGCAGAGTCTTCATACGATTTCGACTATATCACAACCATGCGTTTATGAAACACTATCAAACAGCGATGATAACGGATGCTTGAGAAAGAGTGCATACCCTGCCCAACTGGTCGCACACTTCATAAACACATGCAAGGGCTAGTCAATTGTTCACATGAAAACCATTTAGAAACCTACTAATGTAACAAATTGTCCATGACGAGTAGGGTAAGAAATCATATTGTAAGAGTAGCGGTTTTCCCCCAATGGCAAAACACTCTTCATGAATATGTTTACTAGTTATAATTATATCAAATGTTTTGCCGTGTATATGGCAAAGTGGAAAGAGAGTATTGAGAGGTTTTCAAGTTCTGCTACAGTAAGGAGCTCTACCACCAAATACAATCGAAGCCTGGCAGCACAGAAACACAAAAAAAATACTTTATTCCGAATTCCAAAAATATAAAAGGCACCAGTGCACCACCAGACCTATCTATGTGCCGAATTGGGTGAAGAAATAGTGAATGGTTTTTAAGTTCTGCCCCGAAAAAGAGCACAACCACCAAATTCAGTCGAAGTAGAACTTGTTGCCATGGAAACTCAAAAAATAGTATTGTATTCAGAATTCCAAAACTATCAAAAGGCACCAGTACACCAGAAGACCAATCTATGTGCCAAGTTTGGTGAAGAAATATTGAACGGTTTCCAAGTTCTGCTCCGGAAAAGAACTGTTAAATTCAGAATTCCAACACTATCAAAAGGCACCAGTACACCACATGACCAATCTATTTGCCAAGTTTGGTGAAGAAATAGTGAACGGTTTTCAAGTTCTGCTCCGGAAAAGGACACTACCAGCAATTTCAGTCAAAGTCAAACTTGTTGCCAAGGAAACGCAATAAATATTTTATTCAGAAATCCAAAACTATCAAAAGGCACCAGTACAACACCAGATCTATCTATGTGCCAAGTTTGGTAAAGAAATAGATTGGTTTTGAAGTTCTGCTCCGGAAAAGAGGAATACGCACGGACTGAGCGCATTTTATTAACAACAACACCCCCATCCCCACCCCCGCAAAACGCGTCGCGGAGGATAATTAGAGTACATCAGTCTTAAACTTTACCTAACAGTGCTCCCGACAGTGATGTCAACATGATACGTATTTAAAATAACCCATTCGTGACATAGCTCGATTTACTCAATACAATGAGAGACTACCAAGAGGGTGCAAACGTACTTGCAGTAGGTGGTCCCAGCAAATGTCCACCTCCAATGAAGAGACTAACGATTCCGTACGAAATAGAAGCATTTTGTAAACCAAGGAGCCTAATTGTCATAGGTCCAAGAAGCGAATATACGCCATGGCAATATGTCCCATACAAACAACTGAACACAAGCTGAGCATTGTAACTGTTGGGAAATAATGGGAAGACAAGAGCTAATGTTTCTGTTATCCCAGTTATTCCAAACTGGAGCAACACATCGTCAATGTTTGTGTCAGATGAAACTAACCCCACGACTATTCTTGAGAAGATACTACCTGCACCCAACAGGAAGCAGAGTGGCAGCCTCAATAGGTGAACTTCTTTTATATTCTGCGTAGTTTGGCAAGTGAATTATGCAAGACGATGCTCCGAAACACCAAAGAAAAACACTAACATTGTACAGTACAAAATCTAGGTGCATGAAGATCCTGAATCGGGCATATAAACAGGATCCTGTGTAACCTGGATCCGGGGGGTCCATCATCTGGTGATTGGACAGATCTGATGATTGCGTTGTTCTCTTCTGGCTGTCTCATGAGACTGGTCGCTTCTGGATGAGGTTGTGGGCAACCTTCTTCTTCTGTCTTTCTGACAATGGATTTGGTTTGTTCTTGGTTCCTTACCGGTCGTAACAAGGCACCAGCGATGCACATGTTGAAGCCGATGCCGCCCAAGATGAGAAGTGTTCCATGTAGGTTGTATTGGTCGAGGAGGTACCGTACCAATGGCCCAGTGAAGAGACCAGCTCCACTCCCGGCCATGGACACTCCAAAAGCAATAGGTCTTCTTTTCAGAAAGTAATATCCCGGGACGACTCCAGCTACATTTGATGCAAGACCTAAAGCCAATCCTGTAACAATAGCAAAAGTCAACTCAGAAGCCATAGTTCGCGAGTATCTCTCACTCACTGGGGCGGTGGGGTAGCCTAATGGTTAAAGCATTCACTCGTCAAGCTGAAGAATCGGGTTCGATTACCCACGTGAGGGTGATGTGTGCAGCCCATATCCGGTGTCCCACCGCCTTACAATTACTGAAATATTGATAAAAGCGACATAAAACATACTCAATCACTCTGCAACAAACCATTTATCTAGTTGTTCCAAAACATACCTAACGAGCGAAAGCAGGTAATATGCGATTTTTCTAAAAGAAGTTCAGATAAATGGCATTTAACTGACAGAGATATGTTTTTCCCACCCTTAATTCGCAGCATTAAAGCATAAAATCGGTGTACATTTTAGCCATTATCATTGTCACAGTGGTGTATTATGTCGGACCCAAAAGGGGTCATATCTGGCATGACCCTGAACACAAACATGTCCATCATGTGGATGTTCGTGTAAAGATACAAATGAAAATAAAAAAAACCCTAAAGACATTTATTCACACTCTAAAAACCACAAAGTTTCTGCTGCTAAGTTTTAATTCACGTCTGAAATTACGAATTGATGCTTCAAGTTTCAGCTTCCAGTTAAGTTAAGTTAATTGCAGTTAAGTACATTGATATTATCAATTACATCCATGTAGCTTTCAAGTATAACATTTGACAGCATGTCACCTCACGAAGAAAAACTGAACGCGGAAGACCATTTCCTAAGCATACGTCCCAAAGCACTAATATGACTGGAAACGGTTGCGTTACCAAGATGTGACTCTTGTGGATAAAACGGTAAATGGAGATATTCCTACCTGTCACCAATCCGTATGTGATTAATAACCCCAACACTGTTTGACAGAAGTATGCCGATGTCATCCCAATCAGCATCAACTCCCAGCATATCATAGCTGTTTTTCTGGAGCCTAGTTTCTGATGAACCATACCGGCAACAGGGCCTGTTGGAATCAGTATATTTAGAGTTTAGTGCTCTCGATTTCGGATTTGTGTGAATGTCAGATTCGTTTAACTCGCTTTTGAGAGAAACTGAGTCGTACCACTGCTCTTCGGCTTTGGAGTACGAAGCTTCTGAAGGAACATTTGCGTAACCAAAAATAGAAAAATAATCTCGTAATAACGACTTTAAAACTCGTTATAACGAGTTTTAGATCTCGTTATAACAACTGTCCAAACACTCGTAATAACGACTTTTAAATCTCGTTGTAACGACTTTTAGATCTCGTAATAACGCCTTCAAATCTCGTTATAACGGCTTTTAAATCTCGTTGTAACGAATTTGGGTGGCCTTCATCTACTTCTGAATTGGGTCTTCTGCATGGACTGCTTGAACATAGAGTTCATGGTTGGGACCAACTTGATGAGCATCTGTTCTTTAGAGTCCTGCGTAACATCCTTGCTTCCCTTGTTTGATCTGTAGCATGGCTGAAATGTGCTTCCCTGATATAATGTTAACCTAGTACATATTTTTAAACTAAACACAAATGCCACCTTTCTTCACTTTCTGAACTAATTTCCGTTTAATGTATTTGCTTTTTTCTCTGTGTATCTCATCATGATTAATAAAGACCGGTATAGTTATGTGTACTGACTTTAGCAAATCCTGAGTTTCTTTAGGTGTGAAGGTTAGTGTTCTGTATAAGAGGCCATATTATTTCATTATCACAATGGCCAAGTTATAGGAAGCAGTCACTGCGCATGTTTTACCTGGTACTTCAGCTTAAATGTTGTCCGCTTGAAGTCATATGGCTCCTATGGCAACTAGGGTCACTCACTCACTCGCCCACCAACACTTTCACACACTCACTGTCATCCACTCACTCACTCATGGGCAGTGGAGTAGCCTAATGGTTAAAGCATCCTCTCATCACACTGAAGACACGGGTTCGATTACCCAAATGGGGACTATATGTGAAGCCCATGTCTGGTGTCTCCCGCGTGGTATTGCTGGGATATTGCTAAAAGCAGCGTAACACCATACTCACTCACTCATTCACTATCACTCACTCACTATCTATCCCTCACTCACTCACACACTCAATTTGCTCCACTCGGCTCAGCCACTCATTCACTATCGTACACTCACTCATTCACTATCGTACACTCACTCATTCATTATCGTATACTCACACGGCTCCGCTCTCCCCTGCTCAGTCAGTCACTCACTCACTCAGCTCATTCACATCCATCCACACAACAGGAACATTTCCTTGTCCTATTGATGAATTAGAACTGGACCAGATCTACAAGTTGCTGCTAGTGGTGATATTAATAATCCACATCACTCCATATATACACTACACTTGTTTCAAAACTTTTGTTGCCCTCCAAGAAGTTAGTATTCTTGTCAGACTTGGCTTGATGATATGTTCACAAACAGCTGTCTACATTATCCGGACGGCACTTCCCCAAGCATTCTTATCTGATTCCTTCCTTGATCACAGTCTATCAGAACAAACCAGAACTGAATAATTCACCAAACTGCATGTAACTAGAATTTGTTGAATTCATCAGAGTTAGATAGATAGATCGTCTTTATTTCCTCCAAAATTGAAGATACATATGCATGATTTAGCAGATATTACATTTTACAAGGTACAAGTGTATGAAAGTTATACAATACAAAAACATTTAAAGAAATGTATATATGGGGGGATGCAAATCTAGTAACATGTAATGAAAAACCGTTTCCATTCATGAACAGCTTTACTTGTGATTTCCATACATTGAATCCATAGATCAGTATCAAGATCTCTAATCTTGTCATTTGGCACTCCTCCAAGTAGAAAACTAATCAGTGCATCATCATCATCATTCCAAACACTTACAAAGCATTCTTTAGATTGTATAGCAAAAGTGCCGACACGGATAAGGTAGGATATGTCATAGAAATAATCTGAATCATTAAGAGCTATTAACCAAAGTTTGTTACTAGCAGCTGGATTGCGTAGGAGAGCGTACCTGTGGAGATTGACTTTGTAGTTAAGCTCAGAGGTAACGACATTTGCTTCAAATTTTGAGACTTTATCTCTTACAAGATTTGACCATTGATTTTTGGTAACAAATACAGATGAGTTACGATAAATGTCAACATATTCAGTAAGATCATATTTACAGGTAAGATACAACAGGAAAAGGAGAGGATTTACACTTCAGCATGTTTTGCATACTATCCTTACAATCATGTTGAGCTAATCTATAGTGAAGAATTCGTTTGAAAATGAAACTAATATCAGTGTTAAGCAGTCTTCCCAAGAACAATAATGCTCTCTGATCAATATACGCACGTAGTGATACAAGTCCAAGACAGTCTCTGGCAATGACCGAGCACGTGCGTTTAGAGAACCCTTGTACATTTTTACAGAAGTATTTTTGCACACATTCAAGCATATCCTATTCTTTAGTTGATAAGTTACACCACATATTACAGGCAAATAGACCACAGGGTAGTACAATACGTTCCCATATGCGTACAGCATGCATAGGGTGAAGACCACCAAAATACAATCCATGACTGTGGTTAACATTGACTAGCTTTCTAAGCTTTTCACATATTAAAACAGTACGACTAAGGGTAGATTTAGCGGTGTTTATGTACAGGCCCGCATATACGACATCGGTGTTGCGGTTAATAACATGATCACCCACAAATAGCTCTGGGCATTTGTGTTTATGATAATCACCAAACAGAAGGAAGGCACTTTTTCCATCATTAAACCTATTAGTAAGGTGCCATATTTTTGCATAATCAGATATAACATTCAATAAACATTGAAGACTTAATAGGGTTGTATCATCTGCAAGTAGGATACCAGGGGTAGTGGCCCAGGGCAGGTTTAAGCCTCTTCCTGAATTATCAGCAGCATTTAACAGATCGTTAATGTACAATGTACACAACCTAGCCGATAGGACCCGTCCTTGCCCAACAACCTGACGTATTTCAAAGGTACCCGAAATATGTCCGCCAATGCTAATACGTGATTTCATTGATGAAGAAAGTATGTATAAAAGTCTCCACATTTTACCTTTAATTCCAAAGTTGTGCAGTTTTAGGAAAATACTATTAAGCCAAACCCGGTCGAATGCTTTTTCATTATCGAAAAATGCACAGTATACTGGCGTTTCTCTTTCATTGTAGTAAGCAATAGTTTCTTGGAGCGTAAATAATGCGGTCTCTGCTCCAGCACCTTTTCTAAAACCAAACTGAAAAGGGTGAGGAAAATTCTTTACTTCTGTTGCCCAGCTTTCTATTCTACTCAAAAGCAATCTTTCAAAAAGTTTACCTAAAACTGGAGTAAGTGTGATGCCTCTGTAATTAGAAGGTTATCCTTACTTTTACCATGGCCTTTGTGGATTGGGGGTATATTCCCCACACTAAACAACTTAGGAACATATTCATAAGAAACAATATCATTATAAAACGTAAGAAGGTGGTTGATGAGTGATCTTCCACTCAATTTAACATGCTCATTTACAATATGATCCGGGCCTGGGGATTTACCCGTCTTCAATGATTTTACAGTTTTCAATAGTTCATCACCAGTAAATGGACATAAAAGATTCATACTGGTGTCATTACAGTCATCAACGTCTTGTCTTGTGACAAGATCTTCAATAAAACTATTAACAAAACAGGTAAAATCTTGATCAAAATTGATATCTTCATACGGCTGGGAGAGATCCCTGAAGTACTTAGCAAATAGGTTACAGATACTGTCTGGAGTGTCACGGGTCTCGTTCTCATACACAAGGGTTTTAACTCGTTCTTCATTGCGTTTGTACTTTTTTGTAACTCTGTTATATTCCTGAACATCAACTTCGGCTGCTTCATAGATGTCCCTGAACTTTTCATCTGGAAGTTTACGTTTTGATTTGCGATGTTCTTTCCGAAAGATTCTCTTAGCCTGCTTATATTTTATGTAGTGAACATCGTCCTTATGTCGTGGCTTACCCATATGGACCCATTCTTTACGTGCGTGTCGCATATTGTGATGACATGGCTTTAAATTATCCCTCTTCCAGTAGGGTTTTAAATTGGATTTAAATTTTGAGCAGGAATACTGATATTGGCTGAAGCATGTAATGAATCAAGGATGAAATTATGGTAGGCTTCAATATACTCCTCTGGTGTGTTGTAATCAGCTATATCTAAACTGACATTTCTGAAATACTTTTCAGTCTCATAGCGATAAAGCATCAGATCAATGCTGTTGGCCTTTCGCCAGTTTAACTTTTCACCCCCATAGTGATATTGACGTACATCATCAGTTACATGCATACAAATAAGTATAGGGTAGTGATCTGAGACAGAGTACGGGATGGAATAGTCAATATCATAGCCAACAATGCTACTTCTACAATCAGTGTTAACAAAAACATAATCGATCATAGTTTTAACCTGTCTACATTTACTAGTGTGGGTGTAAGCATTTTGATTGTCTAGTGGTACAATCGAGATCAGGTCACGTTCCTTCAAAGCTCTCTGCAAACACTTAGCTCGAGGTTTTAATGCTGAGAGAGACCGAAGGTCATTATTAAAATCACCAAGTATTACAGTTTGTCCATGAAATGAACAGGTATCGTATACATCCATAGTATTATGGATTTCTTCTGCGTAGACAGTGTCCATGACATTAGACGATGGGAACGCACACCAACTATGTACACTGGAATGCCACAGTTAGTCAGCTTAACACCAATGATGTGTTCACTGTTCGGTATATTTAATACCGAGACACTACCACTATCTTGCTTCCTGATGAACAATGCAACTCCACCAGCTCCTCTAGGTGAAGAATGGTTCTGCTGGCATTTGACATACACATGGAAGTCGTCATGAAGATCATTTAGAATTGGTTTCTGATTGTCATTCAGCTAGAGTTCACTTAGGGGTGAGAGTGTTCACAGATGATTACGTCATTGTCGGT